TCATGAGGAAACATCAGATGAACACAAGTTGTGGGACATTTTACAAAACAACTGGGCTGTAATCTTTAAGTGTCAAGGTAATGGAAGTCAAGTAAAGACAGAGTTACTATTGTAGATTGCAGGACTAAATAGACATGACAACCAAATGCAATGCTTCATTCTGAATTAGATTCTTTGGCTATAAAGGACATTATTGGCAAGTTGGCAAAGCTTGAATGGGTATCTGAGTATTGGATAATAGTGATATATCAATGTTAATTTTCTGATTTGATAGTTACGGTGCAGTTTTTTTAAGTGAATGACCTTTGTTTTTTAGGAAATACACATGGAACTATTTTGAAATGATAGAGCATCGTGTCAGTTATTTACTCATAAAAAGTTCAGGCAATTGGGACGCCTGGGTGGCTCAGTTGGTTAAGCGTCTGCCTTCGGCTCAGGTCATGATCCCAGGGTCCTGGGACTGAGTCCTGCATCGGGCTCCTTGCTCAGCAGGGAGCCTGCTTTCCCCTTTGCTTGCTCTCCCCCTGCTTGTGTTCTCTCTCTGTCTCTCTCTCTGACAAATAAATAAATAAATAAAATCTTTAAAAAAAAAGGTTTAGGCAAAAATTTCTTTGTACTGTACTTAAAACTTTTCTATAGGTTTGAGATTGTTTCAAAATATTTTTAATGTCTCATGAAATATTTTTAATGTCTCATGATGTTTAAAAAAACATGATGAATTAAAATTCATGACATTAACAGCACAGAACAACAGCTCAATTTATAAGGAAATAAACTGAGTTAAAGAATTGAAAGGTCCTTACATTAAGCAAAGGTAAAAGTAGTAATTGCAGGTAGGTTCTAGTCAAAACTACATGTTGTAATTTTTAGGTTAACAACTAAAAGAATAATAAAAGAATGTATTACTAGTAAACTAAAAGATGGAATATAGAATAATAAAAAACACATCATACTTAATGGCTCACTTCTAAAGAATGGAGTATGGGAAGGGGAAAACATAACTTTACAGTGAAGTAACCTGGCAGACACCATCTTAATCATGGTTAATATGACCAGTGATAAGTCATGTTGTTAGCATGCACCCTCTGATATGATGTGATGAGAAACGCACTTCATCTCTGTGGTACACTCTCTCAAAACCCAATAACCTAATCTAATCATGAGAAAAACCCAAATTGAAGGACATCCTACAAAATGCCTGACAAATTCTGCTCAAAACTGTAGGTCATGAAATTCAAAGACTAAGAAACTGTCACAAATCAGGGGAGACTAAAGGCACATAACAACTAAATGCAATGTGGTATTATAAATAGGATCCTGAAGCAGAGTATTTGGACTATTAAAATCCAAATAAAATCTGAAGGTTAGTTAATAATGATGTAGAAATGTTTGTTTCCTAATTACAACAAATGAGAACATTTGGGAAAATTGAAATTAGGGGAAATTGAACCTGGGTGAGGGGTTTACAGGAACTTTCTGTATTATCTTTGCAACTTTTCTGTAAATCTAAAAGTATTCCAAAATAAAAAGTTTATCTAAAACAAACTTGGGGCTCAGTCGGTTAAGCGGCTGCCTTCAGCTCAGGTCATGATCCCTGGGTCCTGGGATCGAGCCACACGTCCGGCTCCCTGCTCAGTGGAGAGCCTGCTCCTCCCTCTCTTTCTCTGCTTGCCTCTCTGCCTACTTGTGCTTTCTCTCTCTGTGTCAAATAAATAAATAAAATCTTTAAAAAAAAATAAAACAAACTTCATAAATCCAAAAGTAGACAAGAAAGAAAAAAAAAAACAGGTATAATAAATACGCAACAAACAGAAAGATGCCAGACATAAATCTAAATATGTTAATAATTACGTTAAATATTATTAGATTAATGTTCCGATTAAAGAAATGGTCCAGGGGCACCTGGCTGGCTCAGTCAGTAGAGCATGCAACTCTTGATCTCTGGGTTGTGAGTTCAAGCCCCACATTTGGCATAGAGCTTCCTTAAAAAAAGAAAGAAACAGAGACACAGTCCAACTGTATGAAAAAAATCAACCATATGCTGCTTGCAAGAGATACATTTTTTTTTTAAGATTTTATTTATTTATTTGACAAGACACAGCAAGAGAGGGAACACAAGCAGGGGGAGTGGGGGAGGGAGAAGCAGGCCTCCCGCGGAGCAGGGAGCCCAATATGGTGCTCGATCCCAGGGCCCTGGGATCACGACCCGAGCCGAAGGCAGATGCTTAACAACTGAGCCACCCAGGTGCCCCAAGAGACACATTTTATTTTATTATTTTATTTATTTTTTTTTAAGATTTTATTTATTCATTTGACAGAGAGATAGAAGAGCATAAGCAGAGGGAGTGGCAGAGGGAGAGGGAGAAGCAGGCTCTGCACTGAGCAGGGAACCCGATGCAGGACTCGATCCCAGGACCCTGAGATCATGACCTGAGCCGAAGGCAGACGCTTAACCATCTGAGCCACCCAGGCGCCCCCAAGAGATACATTTTAAATGTAAGTGTACAAAATGGTTAAAAATTGGGGCGCCTGGGTGGCTCAGTCGATTAGGTGTCTGCCTTCAGCTCAGATCATGATCTCAGGGTCCTGGGTTTGAGTCCTATGTCAGGCTCCCTGCTCAGCATGGACCCTGCTTCTCCCTCTTCCTCTGCCCCTCCCCCTGCTCATGTGTGTGCCCTCTCTGTCATAAATACATAAAAATCTTTTAAAAATATGTCAGGACATATGAATATTAGACAGAATAGACTTTATATTCTGGAGGATCTGGAAGGCTGTATGCATACAAAGGGCTGCATATATGCTCGGGGGAGATCAGAAATGGCTGACCTTAGGCCTTATACAAGAAGAAGGTAAAAATCAGAGAAGACTTGTAAGCTGCCTGAACTTAGAATAAGTGTACTAACACATGCACAGATTCCCTAGGAAAAGGGTGGAAACCTTGCTGGCTCAAAGTGTTTAAGCAAAATCTTTGACAAATAATTGGCTGATCACTAAGCTATGATGACCCAAGGGTGAAACCTAGGTGGCTAGGCTTAAAAATAAGAACAAGAATGTTAAAAAACAAACTGAGCAAAGATTCCAGTTGTCACCACAGGGGAGATGGACACTACATAATTAGTCTAAGCATATCACTAAGCAAAAACAAAGGAACATAGTGCGATATAAAAAATAAAAATAACTCTCCTCCAGCCACCCAAGATGCTGAAAGGAAAGAAGGTGAAGGGGAAGAAGATGGCCCTGGCCCCTGCTGTTGTGAAGAAGAAGGAGGCCAAGAAGGCGGTCAATCCCCTATTTGAGAAAAGGCCCAAGAACTTTAGCATCGGACAGGACATCCAGCCCAAAAGGGACCTCACCCACTTTGTCAAATGGCCCTACTACAACTGGCTGCAGTGGCAAAGGGCTATTCTCTATAAACATCTGAAAGTGCCTCCTGAGAGTAACCAGTTCACCCGGGCCTTGAACCTTTAAACAGCCACTCAACGGCTTAAGCTGGCCCACAAATACAGACCAGAGACAAAGCAGAAGAAGCAGAGATTGTTGGCCCCCGCTGAGAAGACAGCTGCTGGCAAAGGGGATGTCCCCACTAAGAGGCTGTCCGTCCTTCGAGCTGGGGTTAATAATGTCACCACCTTGTTGGAAAACAAGAAGGCTCAGCTGGTAGTGACTGCACATGATGTGGATCCCACTGAGCTGGTTGTCTTCTTGCCTGCCCTGTGTCGTAAGATGGGGGTTCCCAGCTGCATTATCAAGGGGAAGGCCAGGCTGGGGCGTCTGGTCCACAGGAAGACCTGCACTACTGTTGCCTTCACACAGGTTAACTCGGAAGACGAAGGAGTTCTGGTTAAGCTAGTAGAAGCCATCAGGACCAATTACAGTGACAGATATGATGAGATCTACTGTCACTGGGGAGGCGATATCTTGGGTCCAAAGTTGATGACTCTTATTGCCAAGTTAGAAAAGGCAAAGGCTAAAGAACTGGCCACCAAACTGGGCTGAGTGGACACTGTCAAATTTTCTGTACATAAAAGTTACAAAGTTCTCTATAAATAGATAAATAAATAAATAAATACAAAGAAACAAGGTGTAGCCCATACACAGGGGAAAAAATCAGCTTATATAAATTATCTGCAGGAGGGCCTCCATGATAGATTTAGTACATAAAGACTTCAAATAAGCTATTATAAATATGTTCAAAGAACTGAAAGAAAATGTTTAAAGAATTAAAGGAATGAGTGATGACAATGGCTCATCACATAGGGAACATTAATAAAGAGATATGAATTATAAAAAAGAAAAGAATAAAAATTCTAGAGTTAAAAGGTACAACAACTGAAATGAAAAATTCACCCAAGGGGCTCAACAGCAGATTTGAGCTGATAGAAGAAAGAATCAGCAAACTGAAAGGTAGATCAATAGAGACTATCCAGTCTAAAGAACAACATGTAAAAAGGATGAAGAAAACTGAAGAACCTCAAAGGCCTGAGAGACACCATCAAACATACCACATATGCATAATGGCAGTTCCGGAAGAGAAGAGGAGGAAAAGGGGGCATAAGTATATGAAGAAATAATGAGTGAAAACTTCACAAATTTGATAAAAAACATTAATCACAACATCTAAGTTAACTCCATCCAATCTACATCCAATTTCAATGAATTCTGAGTAGAACAAATTCACAGATATTTATAGCTAGAGAGGTCATAATCAAACTTTTGAAAGCCAAAGAGAAAACTTGAAAATAGCAAGAGGAAAATCACATGTGAACCACAATGAGATTAACAGCTGACTTCTCATCAGAAACAATGGAGAAAAGAAGGTGGTATTATGACATATTCAAAGTGCTGGGGGAGAAAACTCAACCAAGAATTCTAGGAGTCAGGTCACCATGGCAACAGCTCATGACAACACTTTCTCCTCCCCAGCTTCTGGGTGTCCCTTAAGGCCTTCTGCTGTAAGCTGTGCTGAGGAGAAGGGTGTGGGAGGTCTCTGACCTGACACCATGGGGGACGAGAGAGGGGACGACTTTGAAGGTATGAGCATTGACCGCCTTAAACTGGAGTTATTGGAAGAAATACATATGAAAGACTTAGTACAGATCTCAATACTTGAAATAAGACACAAGATAGCGGACCTGGAAGCCAAACTCAATACTGACAATGAAGGTGGTGAATGGAAAACCCGTTATGAAGCACAACTTGAACTGAATGATCAACTACAAAAGCAAATTGTTACTCTCAAAGAGAAAATGGAAAAAATCCGTGGAAATCCTTCAGATAGACTAGCTTCTATTCGTGTCTATGAGCGAATGCCAGTGGAATCCTTAAATACATTACTTAAACAGCTAGAAAAAGAAAAAAGGAGTCTTGAAAATCAAGTGAAAAACTGTGCACTTAGACTGGAACAAGAATCAAAGGCTTACCACAAAACCAATGATGAACGCCGCGCATACCTAGCTGAAATGTCTCAAATATCTGGCTCACACCAAGTTTCTAAAAGGCAACAGATGGATCAACTTCATAGAATTAAAGAGAATCATGTGAAAGCAGGAAGACAAAATCCAGCTTATCAGAAGATAGTAAATGCCAAGAAAGGACAAGCAAAAAAGATTACAAAACCAAACCATCTTCCAAAACTCAATCCATGATGCCAGAACTGGATGGATTTCTATTTCTTCCCTTTCTTCATATGTAATTTTCAACTTGTAAAGTTAGAGTTCAGTGCATTTTTCAGGGAATGAAATAGATTTTTAAAAAGAGCTATTAAAACTTCTTTAGCTCCTCTTCCAGATGTTTGTTCCTTTATTTTCGTGAAAGTAATTTTTTTAGTAATTTAGTTTAGTTTTAAAAATTACTCTAGGAAGTCATTCTACTGACCCTAATATATCTAATAGCAGTTTGTGATTCTTAAAAAGTCCTAGAGAAACTAAAGGTTATCATCATTATACTTACTTTTTAATAATCTCTCCATGATATGCTTTGATAAGTAATATTGCTATTGTATTTGGTTTCTAGTCAGCTGTAATCTAAAAATGTGAGCTCTGGGTACCTGGGTGGCTCAGTCAGTTAGGCATCTGACTCTTGATCTCAGCTCAGGTCTTGATCTCAGGGTCATGAGTTAAAGCCTGGCATGGAGCCTACTTAAAAATAAATAAATAAATAAAATTTTTTAAAAAATCTGAATTTACCAAAACTTTTTGCTATTTTAGGCTGTGTCATGCTCTTTTTTTAGCCCAAAGCTTAAACAAGGCTGCAAATCAACTGCATTTTAAACTTTGGCTTGAAGTATCATGGTATTGAGGAAATAGCCTTCAATCAGGAATCAGCTTGGTTATAGTCCCCACTCTGCCTTGAACTTAACGAGATTTGGGGAAAGTCCCTTTACCTCATCTTTATTTCCTGCACCTGTAAAATGACTGAGGCAAACTATGCAACTTGTAAGGCTTCTTACCATTCTAGAAAACCAATACATATTCAGCTACAGGGTCCTGCCACTTAGCACATAGTGAATTAAGTCATGTTTGTGATGTTTATTAATTCATAGTAATGACCTTATTTTTTGGACCAAACTTAGCAAGTGTCCAAAATACTCAAGTCTAGAAGTGGAGACAGAATGAGGATAGGAGAGAGTTCTTTTAGAAAATTTATTAAATTCACGGGGCGCCTGGGTGGCTCAGTTGGTTGGGCGACTGCCTTTGGCTCAGGTCATGATCCTGGAGTCCCTGGATCGAGTCCCGCATCGGGCTCCCTGCTTGGCAGGGAATCTGCTTCTCCTTCTGACCCTCCCCCACTCTCATGAGCTCTCTCTCTCTCTCATTCTCTCTCTCTCAAGTAAATAAATAAAATCTTTAAAAAAAATTTATTAAATTCGGGGCGCCTGGGTGGCTCAGTCATTAAGCATCTGCCTTCGGCTCAGGTCATGATCTCTGGGTCCTGGGATCAAGCCCTGCATTGGGCTCCCTGCTCAGCGGGAAGCCTGCTTCTCCCTCTCCCACTCCCCCTGCTGTGGTCCCTCTCTCACTTTGTCTCTCTCTGTCAAATAAATAAATAAAATCTTTTTTTTTTTAAAAGAAAATTTATTAAATTCTCCTATTCACACTTAGACTGTTTTTGTAATTGTCATATAGGTCTGCAATACACATATAATTTATTTTCTCAACTTCATAAGTGAATTTAAATTCCCAGAAATCACCCAATGGTCAGTAGTTTTTAGCTAATGGTGTTCTCACCTTGTATCTGGCACTAAAACCTAAATTCTATTCAGTATCACCAGTAATGAATACCAAATGCATTTCTATAACTATCTATATATTTATTCACTTTCTTTAAGGAGAATGCATAAATTCCATATAGCCAAATAATTCTTTTATATGACTGTAAAATATAATGCAGTGAAATATAAAGTCACCTCCTATAAATTACTCTACCTTGGAGCTGTTTGGAAATATTTTCTTCTACTCTTAATTAAGCTAACTACAGATATCGGATACCATGGCCCATATTATCAAACAAGTACTAGATTTTTATGTTTTACACCATCTTTCTTAGCATTAGCAACAAATTGCTAATCTTAATATTAGTAATAAATAGAATCACAGATCATCACTGAAGAATAAAAAAGGTTTTTTTCTATCATATAGAGGTAGGCCATTGTAGGGATTAAATTAAGAACATTTAAAATTATCTCCATCATTGTGATGGTCTATTAATTGAACATCTTACCACGGGGATTTATCATGTTTTAAGTGTTAGGAGCTTCTTTGGAATACTTCCCAGATAACAGAAAATGTCCGTCTTAAACACGGTGATGGAATGTTGATGGGGTAGTGTAAAGGACTGAAATGGGAGACTTTCAAAGATCTGTGTTCTGATATCAGTTTTGCCACGTCTAAGCTTCTGACTATAAGTAAATCACTTTACGTTGCCTCACTTTCATTATGTATAGAGTTGGGAATATTTACCCTAACTACCTCCTTGGGATTGCTGTGCACATCAAAGGTACTTACTAAACATTTATTTATTTACTTCTTTATACCTTATTTCCCTCTGAAAGGGTGCCACTAAATTTAGAGGTATAAAAGCAACATCCACAACATGGAAGATGAAAATAAAAGTTAAACAGTTTTGCAAGAATTTGTGACTAAGAAACACTCTAGCTTTAAGCTTTCTAACAGCCAGCACAAAGAAAGAATGAGCTACATAGCTCTCATTAGTTTTGTAGATGGAATACACAAGTAGTGAAAAAGTTTTCCCTCGTTCCCTAGTTCCAAGCTCTGAAGATAATTTGTCATGAGAGGTTTTATAAGAAGGTGCAATTATTTATTGCAATAATCAGAGCAAAAATGAGAGTTTGGGATCCTTCTTTGTTTAATACTGAAATATGTATTAATATCAGTATTTTTAAGTTTAGAATTCATAAAGCAAAAAATCAGTAAAACAATATTTAGTATATTTCAAATTTTTAAATGTCTAAATGTATTACAAAATATCAAGAAATACCATAAAACATAAACACAGATGTTGCTATAATCAAAAAGACAGATAATAACAAGTATTGGCTAGGATATGGAGAAATAGGAACCCTCATACACTGCTGGTGGGGATGTACAATGGTGCAGCCACTTTGGAAAACAGTTTGGAAGTTCCTCAAAAGGTTAAACATAGAGTTATATGACTCAGCAATTCTAGTCCTACGTATATACCCAAGAGAAATTAAAGCCTATGTCCAGGGGCGCCTAGGTGGCTCAGTCAGTTGGGCGTCTGCCTTCGGATCAGGTCATGATCTCAGGGTCCTGGGATCGAGCCCCACGTTGGGCTCTCTGCTCAGCACGGAGTCTGCTTCTCCTTCTCACTCTCCCTCTGTGCTTCCCCCCACCTCAAATAAATAAATAAAATCTTTAAAAAAATAAATCCTATGTCCACATAAAAACCTGTACATGCATGATTATAGCAACATTATTCATAATAGCCAAAAAGTGGAAGCAACCCAAATGTCCATCAACTGATAAATGGATAAACAAAGCGTAGTATAGCCAAACAATGGAATATTATTCAGCAATAAAAAGAAATGAAGTACTGATATATGTATGCTACAATGTGGATGAATCTTGAAAATAGTAAGTGAAAGAAGGCAGTCACAAAATACCACATATGGCATAATTCCATTTATATAAAATATCCAGAACAGGCAAATCCATAGAGACATAAAGTAGATTAGTAGTTGCCTGGGGCTGGTGGGGCCAGAGGGAGGGTAGGTGATGGGGAGTGACTGCAAAGGGTACAGGGTTTCTTTTGGGGTGATGAAAACGTTCTAAAATTGATGATGGTTGCACAACTCTGTGAATATACTAAAAAACCACTGAACACTTTAAGTGAGTTAATCATATGTTATATGATTTATATTTCAATAATGCTATTATTAAAAAATAATCTTATATTTACCGAAATAACCCTTAAAAAATGAAGACCTCACAGAAAAAGACATTCCCGGGGGGAAAAAAAGCCCAAGAGAACCAATTGCTATCAGACCTGCCTTATAAGAAATTTTGGAAGTTCATCAGGCTAAAAAATAATAATAAAAAAATTTTTAAAAATTAAAAAAAAAGAAGTTTGTCAGGCTGAAGAGAAATTGTAACTTGAACCCACACAAAGAAATAGAGCACCAGTAAAGGTAATTACATAGGAAAACATAAAATACAATGTAAACATATTTTTCTTTCCTTCTCACAACTGATTTAAAAGATATCTGCATAAAACAATAATTATTAAAATATTGGTAGATTTAGAATATATAAAGATAGCACAAAGGAAGGGAGAGGAAAGGAAGCAATATTAAAGCATTTCTGTACACTACCAGAAGTAAGTTAGGATTAATGTGAAGTATATTTTTTTTTGGTTAAGATGTATATTGTAATCCCCACACCTACCACTAAGAAAATAATTCAACAAAGAGAATAAATAAAGAGAATTAAGATGGCACACTAGAAAACATCTATATAGTGCAAAAGTAGGCAGTAAGGAAGAAATAGAGGAGAAAAAATACACGAGGCATAGAAAATAGCAAAATGGGGGCGCCTGGGTGGCTCAGTTGGTTAAGCGACTGCCTTCAGCTCAGGTCATGATCCTGGAGTCCCAGGATCGAGTCCCACATCGGGCTCCCTGCTCGGCGGGGAGTCTGCTTCTCCCTCTGACCCTCCTCCCTCTCATGCTCTCTGTCTCTCATTCTCTCTCTCGCAAATAAATAAAATCTTAAAAAAAAAAAAGAAAATAGCAAAATGGGGGCACCTGGGTGGCTCAGTCTTTAAGCATCTGCCTTCGGCTCAGGTCATGATCCCAGGGTCCTGGGATCAAGCCCCGCATCGGGCTCCCTGCTCCACAGGAAGCCTGCTTCTCCCTCTCCCACTCCCCCTGCTGTGTTCCCTCTTTCACTGTGTCTCTCTCTGTCAAATAAATAAATAAAATCTTTAAAAAATAAAAATAAAAAAATAGCAAAATGGTAGTTATAAATAATTACATTTATATGATAATCAATACTTACATTAAATGTAAATGAAATAAGCATTAAAATAAGAATAGATGATCAGACTAGATTTTTTTTTAAGATTTTTTTAAATTTTTATTTATTTATTTGAGAGAGAGAATGAGAGAG